GAAGCAGATGTGCAACAGATGGAATTTATAATGGAAGCAATATTACCTAGTGTGCATACATAATTGAAAACAATTTAAAACAATATATAAATGTACGTGGGTATATTGAAAAGTTGTCGAAATATGGCTACAAACGTATAATCCTTTGCTTTTGCCCCGCTGTTGTCTCTGTTAAGTGTGAGTTTTCCAAAAAATAATTAGAAAGTTATGCCTACAGATGTGATGCCTATGAAACCCTGAATATTTCAATTGTTCACAAAAATAGACAGCTTCCCCAGTGAATCTAGTTTTAATTGCTACAAAAGAAAATAATCCTTTGATTTTACAAGGTAAAGTATGGTCAGCCACTCAGATATCCTATAAAATTTAAAATAACAAAGAGTTCTAGCAAATATTTGTTTATACTCTTATCTAAAAAACTTTATAACATTCAAGTGTATACGGGTCTGTGTACATAACACAACCGACATTGGCATAATCATCTGCCTGCGATGTTAAATACTTACATAAAAAGGTATCTACATATAGTCTGTAAGAATAATCGTGAATAATGAAATGTCGCTAAAAGTTCAACTGTAAATAAAAAGGAGGGAAATTATAATTACACAACAATTTAATGCTGGCCCATCTTTACCAGTTAAGCGATTAGAATAATCCAGTCAATTACGGCAAGTGTGTGAATTGCGAAAATGCATTTGGCATTCGAAAAACACAAACAATGTCATTTTTTATTATTTGCTAATCGTAAATGTGTGTGTTTATATGCATAATGAAATAAGAAGATAAATATGTTTAAATATGAATAATTGAACACCTTGTCATCAAACAATCTCCGTTTGTGAAGCAACTATTTAATAAAGTGTCACCGCCGCAGTTCAGCTGTATTAGTCAGTCGTTAACGAAGCTACGCGCTATCTGAACCAAAGCTACCCGATCTAAGCTCAACTATGGAGTATAGAAAAGTGATATCATCTTTATTTGTATGGCCATACAGTTGTCCCAAGTGATATGACGATTAATTGTCAGTGGCCATATCACGAATTATCTTTGTATTATAAGAAGAAGTTGCAGAAAATCGATTCAAAAAGGAGGGGCTTCTCAGTATGAGTGTAGTGCCTGTTGTTTGAAATCAAGAAAAAAAAACGATGACTACAGCTGTTGAATTCTTTACTCTTCCTAAAAAATAGTTCATTAAATTTTTGAAACAACAATTTTAATACTAGATTTCATTCCAAATATTTAATTTATTTTCTTTGAATTCACAGCATAGTATTAATGTCAAATTTGGAAAGAAAGGTCACTCTAGATGTGTATAACATTGTACCTCTAAGATGGATTAGACAGTGGAGTATCTGTTTTTATTAAAACCTTCCCACAGTCCGATGACCTTAAATTTAGATCTTTAGCGATATTCAAAAAGTAATATATTTTCAAAGCCGTCATTGTCCCATATTAAAAGTGTGAAGTAGTTATATAATATAAACATTATACTTCTCATGAGCATAAAAGAGCTCGATTAAACAGAATGTATGTGCATACATATGTACATGTTATATTAAATTCCAATAACTACTTTGTCGCTTCCGACAAGGATTATGCGATCCTCTAACCAGTTTTTACGATAATCGACAACCGATATTTCCATTTTATTGAAAAGAGTAAGGATGGCACAGCTTAATTATTTTTATTAAATGAATAGCAAAGCATTACAAAATTTATCAAATCAATAACATGTTATGGTATGCACATTCATGCATGACTCTTCGCTCTGAAGAGGAGCTGCAAATAAAATAATCGTGCCACGCTTTTGTGTACTTAGCATTTGCTGCCAAAATCTTGAGATAAGGATCACATATCTATGCACAAATATAATTAACTTTGTTACTACAATAGGAATTGAAAAAAAAAAAACTGCACATTAATAGAATGGTATTCATGGAGGTTGACATAGGCTTATTCATGATTACTGGGACTCATGATGGACACATTAGTGCAATCGATAGCACCAACAAATGGGAACGTAACCTTCAACGATCCAAAAATCGTTATAATACGATAGATAATTTCCTTACAGGTCTGTATTATCAGCTGCTTTTTATTTTATTTTCAGGTAGTTGGTTGAAAATATTACTATGAAATGCGTCTTACAATGGCTTTAGATTATGTTCAATCAAGGTGTCCAAATATGTACACATACACATACATATGTACAAGCATACCAATTTTTTTTTTACAATGAATAAACTCAGTATAATATAACCAAATATAAATATGTTGAAATGTATTGTTATAAATATGCCCATAAAAATATATTTATATGTTTACGAATACCGAAGTGTGCTTTTGTATGCATACTATAACACCTTTTATCAGTTACTATCCTAATTTTTCGTTAACCGATCGAGTCCATAATGAGTTAATAAAAAACCTACTTACATCCAATAGCCGTATGATCCCTGAAAAATATTTAACTAGCTTAAAATGCTGCCGCCTCAAACTTTAAAAAACTATTTACTCAATCAACTAGTTAGAATTTGATTTATGTGTACATATGTATATGCGCACATTCGCATGTATGTGAGTCCGACGAAATATTCGATTTATGAATAACGTTCTAAGCGACTGGTACAGAGAGAAGCAATGGCATGCCAGTTGCAACATTTCATACTACTTGCTACCCTCATGATTGGTCATCACATTCAAATTAACTCTAATTGAAATAGATTTTCATTTCATCAACACAATTGTGCTTCTTTACTCATAATATGTGGACAGTGACAATTAATTGTATGCTGCCGAAAGAGGGAATGTTAGATTCCCCATGATATACGTGAGCTAATATTCAGCGCGATTAACTAAGAACGGAAAATATAAATATGAAAATTGCCAACTTTGTAGAGGGGCACAATGAGACATTTTTATTTAGTACAATAAAAAGCTTTGTTGCATTCGACCAATGAATGATGCCACTGTGCGTTAAGTTTTAACGACTGGGATCACCTACTTAAATTAGAGGTGTTACAGCCACTATAACAACTAAACCAACCAATTTAATACGCAACACTCTTTCCAATTATTTCATTCGTACCATAATGTCATCACCAAAACCAAAGCCGTAGATAAAAATTGAATTTTAGTTTTCGCCGTAAATACAGGTAACATTTTTACATATTTCTTTTGTTATCGTGAGTTTTATTTCACATTTTTTAATTTTCTTGATTGTTATTTAAATTAAATGTTACAATAGCTAAAATCGCTGTTCCTGATTATGGTACTAGTAATCGATTACATTAAATATAAATGCGGCTCTGATTATGGTTACAGCGGAGCTTTTATGATATGGCAATTAACTTTAAAGCCGTAGTAAACGAGTTATCTTCAGAAACCCCTGCGGGTTAGGGGCTCAAGAATTTACCTGTGGTAAGGCATGCCTGTCGTAGGAGGCGACTAAAATCCAATAGTTCCCGCGACAGTCGGGTCTTTATACCGGAACGACCCGGATTTTTATCCGGCCAAGGACTGTCACTCCCGCAATATTCCCCTGAAAACCAATTCGGGGAATTTCGAGGTTGCTACTACAACAACAACAACAACAACAACAGTTATCTTCAGAAGAAAATATATATGTGATATGTGGCAATAGTCTTAGGTGACCTAATGGGCAATGTTTATAACAATTGTTACTGAGGGCAATTTGCCAGTAAAATTTTCAAAGAGAGAACTCAATTTTGACATTATTATAAATATTAGCAAACAAGAAAAACAGGCAAATGAATGGCATGTACTTTCAAAGTTACCAAAATTATTTAAAATGAATATAATATTGATGATTTGTTTAACATTCATATTAAGGCAAATTTAAAGAAGGTGAAGTTGTCAGATCATATGATTGCTTGTTCTTCTTCCTATTTCAACAAATTACACAAACAGAATACATGAGAAATAGGTTTTAACTTTCAAAGTTACCAAAATTATTTAAAATGAATATAATATTGATAATTTGTTTAACATTCATATTAAGGCGAATTTAAAGAAGGCGAAGTTGTCAGATCACATGATTGCTTGTTTCATTCATTTATATTCATTTTTTTTTACAAAATACCTGATTTCAGATTCCTTTAATTTACTAAAAGGGGGTGTCGGCTTTGCGAAGTGTTTTCAATCTTACGAAGGGTGCACAACATGAAAACTTAGTCGCATTTAAAAGGAAAAATAATTATCTTTCTGAATTCGATCGGATTTTATTTAAAAATAATCCGAAAATCGATTCAGCGAAAAAAGATTTCCTAGGCCATTTTCGCATTTTAATCAGCCGTCCGGAAAAGCTAAAGACATATTCATCATTTCCTTTAATAGTTTGCAACCGTGGTAGGCGGGTACCTATTTAGCATATCGAATTAAAAGCAATGTTGAAATTGTTCCTATTTCTACAGTTCTAGAGCAAGGCGAATTTATAAGAGGTAAAGTTTTCACATCATATGATTGCTTGTTCTTCCTTCCATTTCAACATATTACACAAACAAAAAAAATGAACGAATTTCGTTTTTAACTTTTCGAACTTACGATTGCTTTTAATTTGATATGGTTCATAAATACAAGTTGCAAGGAAAATTGAAGCGGCAATACTTTATTTACTTTTAACTTGTCTGGATTAAATTAATACAGAGATCCCCAAAGATAAATAGGGGAAGGAATTAAAGAAAAAAACAGGGTTATACCAAAGAAATAAAACTTGATCGAAAATTGAAGATTTTTTGAACAGTTTTCTCAAATTATCTTTTAGCACCGCCTTTAATAAAAATTCGATACTGATTGCACAGCTCATAACACGAATTAGAAATTCCATATCCGATTTTCAATAGACAACGAATGCAATTAAAAATGATTATTGTAATTTCTTCTTCCACCCGTTTTATTATACAATATTCATTTCTATTATATTCCATACCGTGGAGCAATGTAGCTTCTGCACAAATTTTAATGTAATATGTTTAACTTACCGGATAATACATTCCTTGAGGAGGAAGAAAAAATGCTCCTGAACCCCACAGTTTGGCGGCTTTTGTATTTGGGTTGCGTATAGCGAACTTATGTATGTGTTTACTCCTTCCGTTATTTCACTCAACGCAATGCTGTTGAATTATGTGAACTGACACAAATGTTGGGCTTATGAAACACTATTGATATGCTAGATGGCAATATTTTATTCCAAAAAAAATATTTTAAGCAATAATTTCACTATGTTTCTTACTTAAAGTGCTTTGGTATTTACTAGCGAAGTATTTTGGCACATTAGATTCTTATATAATAGTTTCTTCTATTGTATGTAAGTGAATTAAGGTTTTCAGTAATTTTAGGGGAAAGAAATTTGTGCACTCCTTTCGATTTATGAACTTGTGTATGTCGTTTTTATTCATATATGCAATTCACTAATCGAGAAAATAAATATAAAAACTTCTTTTCGGAAATATGCAAACATACATACATTCATATGCACACATATATACACCTGCACTTATGTACATACATTAGTAACTATGTACACATTTTAAGAATCCTTAACAACGTTGCCTGTACGTATGTGTGTATGTTAAAAAGTATCAGAACTCACATGTTAAAGGAATTAAAATATAATAAAATACATCTTAATAGAAGTGGGGATATAGGATGGCATTGCACATATGTACAATACATGTATGTAAGTAACAAAAACGGTTTTTTCTTGTATTTTGTTGTTGATTAACAAAACATATTTTTATAATTGATTTAAGTGATCGGAGTATTATTTTAAACGTAGCGGAGCACAACTATGTTTATTAAAAATTAAAAAAAAATCAAATGCAGCAATTAACTATTGTATGTATCTCGAGCATTGTCTTCAAATAATGAAGAATCCATCCAATTTATCGAAACATTGAACTGGTCTAAAACACAGAAAGAAACTGAATTGGAAAAAATTTGGTGAAAGAACAAGCAGTGAATTTCTTGCATGCTGCGTCAATAACTGTAGGGTTGTAGTATGCATTGTCGCGTATAATATTTGCTAAATTTAGTTTTCTCGCAGACAAGAAGTGAAGCCGAAGAGCGCTGGCTCTCTGCTTTCTCTTTTAAGGGGTGTTGCTTAATGGGGGTGCTTTCAATGAGAGCCCGACTATTGCCTAAAACAAACTGCTTTGCTGGTGGAAAAATCGAATCTGTACGTTGGAACAGCATCAGCATCACAGCAATAATTGATATGAACGTACATACACACATATTTATGTACACTTATTGCAAATGATACAGAGAAATAGAGAAGGTAAAAGACAAGGGAAAATATAAGCTATGATAAACCTAAAGCATGACCAAATCCTAATAAGTGAATGGGTGTATGAAAGGCGACTAAATAAATGATGCTACAAAGAAATGGAAAATATTTTGTGGACGAGCTCGCAGACGTATACCCAAAATGTATGCCTAAAAGGAGTCACATGAAATATATATACAAACGCATATATATATGAACATGCAGGCAGATATGTATATGTAAACACATACATATGTATATGCATTTGTATTTCGGTAAGCAACGATTGAAACGCAATGAACAAAGAGATATTAAATATGTATGTGCATGAATATGCTTGTACTATGTACGTATGTAAATGAGATTTTCAACATCCCGACAAAATAGTCCGCAGCTAGCAGGCGTATCTGGGCCCATTCAAGCGCTAATGTAAATTCAAGTGAATTTATTTTTAGGTCTTTCACGACTAATGACCAAACGATGCCACAGTATGTATACAATTTGTACACATGTCGCAGGTGTGTATACATATTGTCCATATTTAAGTTTTAGTTAGTTTCTAATATAATCCGGGAGTATATCATATTTGGCACTGTATATTTCTTTCTTATCCGGGGTAAAGGATATATTCTTCTACCCATGGTTTTTGCGTTTTAATTTGGATGACTTTTTCCTAATTGGAATTACTTGGCTTTGCTTATATTAACTCCATTTCATCTCCACATTTATAAACACCATATTTTCATGTACATAAGTAGGTATTTAGCAATCATTTGCGAATATTTTTCATATTTCTGTTTTCAGTCAATTATTGTACCTAAATTTACACTACAAAATGAAATTTATATACTAACGCACTCAAATGCTATCATTTTTTTCTTAATTTTTTACAAGGTATGTAAATAATTTTCAATTCGGAATAAAATCCAAAACCGAAAGTCCCAATCAAAATAAAATCACTGTAGAACTTCAGAGGTTCTATTTTAATCGCAAAATACATGTGTGTTTTACAAGAAAACACTGAGTATGACGGTAACACATAAATATATACATACAACCAATAAGAGACGAAGAGGAGAGAATACAACTAGCAAAGTTTTTAATATTACAGCACTGCGACAAAAATACAACTAACGCGAAACTTTTCGCGTCTTTGCACCAACTGCCCGGCTCGCCGTATTCGCCGTGTTCTCCACGATGTGTTCTCCATTTTCCGCATATTCATTGTTACTATCTTTTGCTTCACGCTTTTTTTAATTCTCTTTTACATTCATTTCGTATCATGGTGAATGGTATACTAAACTAGGTATTCACCATAAATGTAAAGCAACGACGATGAGCGTATATTAGTATAAGTTATTTGACCGTAATCGAGTTTAAGTTTTGAAAATTTTCATTTATTAAACTCACATGAAATGAAAAAATACCTGAAACATATTTCATATACCCATGCAGAGGACTAATAAGTTCCCTGGTTAAGTGTGACAAAATGCCTATGTTAAAAAGCTTTTAACCCAAGATTTGGTGGGAAAATTCAAGCAAAAGCTCACTGATTCACTTTAGCAGAGATTTTATAAATTCTATACATTAGCGTTAACATTGCGCCTTTTCGCTTATTAACATTATCTGTGTCTGCTAAAATTTCGAATTTGCGCTTAATTTCTATAACAACTGAAAAAATGTCAGAAAACATTTGATTTCATATTTAATTATGTGGGTTCGTCAAATCAAAATTAAAATACACACCCAAATTTCGTGGTTAAGTTCATCCCATTCCTCGTTCAATTGAAGATTGAGGAGAATGCGTTGATAAAAAATAGTGTTACTCTCTGTCAGACCACTAAACATTTTAATGCCGTCTTCTATTTCCAAATTGAAAACACCAAAATTCTCACATGTAAGTTAAAAAAACTTACGTTGCGATCATAAACTGAACGGCTAACTAACTCAATGTTATTTAAAAATATAAGTAAAAAAAAAAACACACAAATACAACTAATGAAATTATCCAATTGGAGTCACAGCAGAGTTGTACTAAGACTGCCAGAGGTAGTTAGGGAAAAGCGGAAAAGAGAAGCGGAAGACATGTAAGAGGAAAAGGAACCGTGCAGAAAATATTGTAAGTTGGCTATGCTGGCGACAAAATTTTCTCTGGTGAGAGTTAAATAAACTCCGCTAAAAATAACTGCTAATATTCTTTCATCAAAGACACTATCCTAAACATTACCAAGTTACAGGGTGTATTGGGACAAAAATTATCAGATATAAATATTGCACTAAACTCGATTCAAGCCACAGTTATAAAAAAATTAATTCCCTCTTTTCACAAATTTTCAATTAAGAATATGCACTCCACTCGCTTTACGAAACAACTTGTTGGTGTGAGGTTAGCAATACTAGCTAATTAAAAAAATCGATAACATGCGATTGGGCCAATCATTCAGAGGTGTTATAGAAACCTTCAAAGAATCGGAAATGAAAATCAATATCTGTTTGTTTTTGTTTTGAAATGGTGTTATGAAACCGCCTTCATTTTAACCTCTTGGGAAGATAAGAAAAACCGATATTCGAATCAGCTGTCATTACACTTGTGCAAAATCTCTACCATTCAATTCAATGTTTGTACTGGTATTAACTTATTAGTGATTATTAACAATAAAATGACTCCGGTAGTGATAGCATTTTTGACGAAAGAAGGATTTCGTGAAACAATCCAGAAAATAAAGGGCAAAATCGTAAGTGTAAATTCCTTTCTACTTTTACATTTGCTGATACAAAATTTGTTTATATGTAGATTCTAGACCAATAACGCCTTAACAAAGAAGCCTTCGTAACAGTATTGGATGTCATTGAATACTAGTTCGATAGGCTGTCTATTCCACATGTGCTCCAACTTGCAGCCACACTGCGATTTTTAGCAGAAGGCTCCTGTTAACGTCCTGTGGGACTCAAATATCTCCTTAGCGCGACATACAGTCTCTGTGGTTATAACAGACATGCTAAAGGATTTTGAACGTTTGGATTGCCCACGCTGGATAATTTTAGGAATGAACGACAATGGAAAACGGACCCTTTTTCCATTAAGTACCAGATACCAGGCATTGCTGGATGTAAAATCTATTAATGAATTAATTAAAATTTATTGAAAATGCATTCATACGAAAATTTGAATACTTTAAAGATTTAATAAAATAACTGGTTTAAAGAATTATATTACTCACCTGATATTGATGAAATTCCATAATTGATATAGATCCATTTAATTCAACAGCCGACATTTGAAGTAATTATGGCAATTTGATTATTATTAATTCAGTGGTAATAGTCCGTGCATACATAGTGCATATGCAGTTCCTTTTATAAATTGTAATGAATCACAAATAAGCCTTTGTCATAACAATTTCTCCTTTAATACATACATTGAATTCAACTCGAATAGATATCATATACTTTCTGGATGAAGTAAAAGTTCTCGTTGAATAAATAAGTTTATGTATTGAACATCTATTTAGTTAAGCTATTTCCTTCTCTTGCTCAACCATTAAAAAATGAAAAGTTTGGACGGTGACTGCCATTTTCTCTTAAGTTCAGTTTTTAATATGTAATTTCTTGGTTCTGTTCTTCATTTAATATTAAATTAAAATATTTTGTTCATATTCTTTTTTATTATTTGATGGGTTTACCGGTGGTCTCAAATAATCAAATGTTAGTTTATTTAAGCTAACAGTTTTGTATTTTCCCCAAACGTAGGGAGTTTTTATCTACAAAGAGAAAAAAGAATCCAGGTTTAAATTTTTTTAATTCACTGGCACTTTATGGACATCAATATAAACAAATAAACAACAAATCAATAGAATTCACGTTTAACTATTTTTAATTTATAGCTGTGGTTATATAATATACATTTTAAATTTTTGCAATATTTTTTCTTAAAAGCAAAAAAAAAAAACTAAAAATTGTTGCCGACTCGGAGATTGTCTTTAGGAACTAGACGATTTTTGAGGGTATCTTTCCTATCAGTCTAGCTCAGTCAGCTTTTTATGAGCAGTTTGATTGGCGTTTCATTTTAACGCAATTTTTATTTTCTTCACGTATTTTGCTGTCCAAAAAATTTCAATTTCGACGTGTGACCACCCTGATATATAATATATAATAATTATTATAATTCTTCTTCTTCTTTATTTACTTTGGCAGCGCTCATGCGATTATAGCAAAATTATTTGGCGTCAGTTGTAAATACCAAGTGAAACCAGGTCCCTCTCCACCTTTCCTCCTTAAAACGAAGTGAGGAACTTCCTCTTTCGCTGCTTCTACCAGCGGGTACTGCATCGAACACTTTCATCCATTCGGGCGACATTACCTAGCCAGCGAAAACGCTGTCTCTTCATTCGCTGATCGTATAATTCGTACAACTCATCGCTCCATCGTCTGCAGTATTCGCGGTTCCAATGCGTAAAGGACCTTAAATCGTTCGCAACAATTTTCTCTGGACGACTTCAAAAGCAGACTCATCAGATGTTGTCATCGTCCATGCTTCTGCGCTATTTAGGAGAACGAGTATGATAAGCGACTTTTAGAGTTTTGTTTTTGTTCGTCGAGAGAAGACTTAAATATTCAGTTGCCATCACTCCAAAATAGCCCCTGTTGGCAAGAGTGATTCTTCATTGGATTTCAGAGCTGACATTATTATTGGATAGACGAAATTTTCCACAACATGGGAGCCAAATCGCGAATGTGATGACTGTTTTTTTGATGACAGAAGATATTTCGTCTTGTCCCAGATATTTACCAGGTCTAAAGCCACACAGATAAGGTCCAATCAGTTGGTTGACGATGGGCTTTAGTCTTACTCACAATACGCTCGATAGGAGCTTACATACGACATTAAGAACTTCACCACCATGTTTGAATAGCTCTACCGGTAGACCGTCTTCTCCAGCCGCTTTGTTGTTCTTTAAGCGGCAAATCGCTATTCGAACCTCGGCATTCATTCATATAATTGCAGAAATAAAAATTGCAGCGTGTGATTTCACTCAATGTGACTTCTGAATTTCAATTTCCCCATTGCTCTTGAAATTTCTGTCAAAGTACATACATGTGTATATGTATGAGTATTGTCTAATCAGAATTTTTATAAATATTTTTTAAATAAGCTAATTTCCAGAAATTAAACTTCAATTACCATGATATTTTTACACTACGTTTGAAATAAATTTGTTGAACGATTTGGACTGTTGGAAGTTAAGATTACTAACACATCTTCTTATTCATAAGGAAATACAAATATTAAACATTTTCCAACTAGAACTGTCTGGTATACTGGAATACTTTCTTATTATACATACCAAACACTAAACATTACAAGCACCAGAAAGGGAAGAGATAAATCCATCAAAATTGGAACCGATATCATCAGAATAACAAACTGAGTAGATTCATCCACGTCCTTCTATCCGTCTGTTAATGTGCAAACTAGTCCTATCCTAGGGATATTCCAACCAAATTGGGTACACAGATACTTTGTTACATTTAAACTAACATTTGTCGGATCCGGCCATCCTTCTAAAAGAGTGAGATTTTCTATTTTACACACGTATGCACAAATGACTATAGAAACCGAAAATCATCGAAACCGGAAACTCCACATAAAAGATTTGTCCAGATATAAGTTTTTGGGTCAAAAATCAATTGAAAACAAGAAATTTGGTATTTTACACTCCTAAATTCAAATATTGGTATTGAAAATCATTGAAATCAAATTTTGCTTTACGCAATCAATTTGATAAGTTCATGAAAGGTATGAAAACTTCGACCTGAAGCCTTTCGAGTTTCCACGATATTTAATATCACTAAATTGACTTCCAACTTCGTATAAAGAGCTGTAATTACATATCATTTTCTTTTTTAATCTGAGATAAATCTAGATTGCCTTGCTCAATATGCTACTACTATTCATTATCTTAAATACTATTTTGAGTAAATAACCCCAAGTGTTGTTTGGTAATTACATTTATTTAATTTCACTATTTTTCCGGTCGCATTCGTCAAGTAATAGCTCCTGATGAAGTAGAAGCTTCTTCTCTCGGAAGCGGTTTATAATAAACAGTAGGTCCCACTATCTCTTCCAAAAACATTAGGAAGCACCCCACGAATGGGAGGAACTCTGTCGAAAATTACTTCGGCGGTATAAACAGGTTACGTATACGCTCTTGCGGACGTTATTCTGTACCAGTTCTTCCAAATTTTTATGGACCGCTTTTATTTTAATGACAAAAACAGTCGTATGTTTGTCTGGCCATGCTGGAACCTGTCAATCCCCGGCTTATAGTACATACATAGTACTAGGCTACTGCCTCTGTCAAGCACTATGACAAACGGCATTCTATTACTTTGACTCACACGTATTGAAATAAATGCTGGAAGCGTAATTGGTGGTGATTAACGAAATTTCCCCGCTTAAGGCAACGTCGATAACTGGTATGCAAAATGGATAGACTATTATATACTTGCGCTTTCAGGTACGTACGCAATACCTCTACGTAGCCCGTGACATCCATTGCTTACATCTTTTTACGTGCTTGTAAACTGAAAATCAACAAACATAAACAGTAAGATCCACAAAGAGCAGAGTTCGTATTTACATAGAATACCTTTTATGTTCCTATTTACTATTTTTTCCCTCCAATCACTACTGAAAGCGTTCGATATATGTACGTATATAAAGCCTGGCCATTTACAATTTTCTTGTATGTTTTTACGATATCCATAACTTTTGTCACAAATAAAAAAACTTCCATTGTAGATAATATTTATACCTATCATTTACAATGATGAGATTTATTTAGTGAATATTTACCAAAAAGATGTTAAGTCGCAATGTTTCAATTATCACTATCAACTTATTCACCTTATAATATACACGGGAAAACACAAATGTTCAATTAAACACACATATGTATGTATGTAGTAAAATGTAAATGTATGAACAAAACTTGGACTCTGCTTTAAACTTTCATTTCTATTGCTCATTAAGTTTAAGTATTAGGACACAATTCTATCCATATAAAAACATATATTTTGGTGATTCCTTGTATAAGAATACCTTTTCACCAAACGACTTTCACTTTCTTAAATTATTCCAAATTATTCGTGTACCCTCTGGTGAATGACTTTAAAAATGTATGTAGCGCTTGTTTACACGCACTGCGCCCTGAGTTATGTTATATGTACATGCTAGTTAGTTTGATACGAATATCAGTTTCTCAGCATCCCATAAGAGTTTTTGGTTTTCTCTTGCACGGTATTAACATACTCTTTATAAAATACTTTCTCCGTTAATCATGTTTATGTTTGAGTGCATGTGGATATTCGATTTTTCAAAATAGTGGGAAGCAAACATCTGCTTAATCTTATCTATTGAATTTTTTATACAAAAATCGAAGAGCACATACATACATACATATGTACGTGCATGCTTGGCCAATATGACATAAAATCTTTGACAAAGTCAAATTGACCTTTTCAAGATTTCATTAGAGTGGTATGGTATGGCTAATAATAATCAAAATTGATATTTCGAGTTTTGATTTTTTTTTGGCGATGACCCTATTTTTTAATATTTCCTGTTTTTTACGTTTAATTGCAGTTAAATTGAACAATGGTTAATTTAATTTTAATGGTGATTGTAAAAATTTCACTGCCTTCGTTGCGGTAGTTTTATTTTTATAAATTGAGCTTGTAGCGAAAGAAATAGTAAAATTAAATTTTTTTATTTAACATATTCGCGTGACCATATACAATATTGTGAATGTAAATACGAAAGTCTGTGTAACTCACTGGATGCGATGCCGTACGTTGGTGATAGTTGACTTAAACCAACTCATCTCACCCCACTCCCCTTTTGATCCAATCCTGTCGAAACAGCACGATTCCTGGACCCCCCAATAGATACCTCGGCGACTTTTATTGATCACACCTGAACCCTTAGATTTTATAATGTGGGCTCTATCCTACAGCTTCTAGTGCCCCACACTGTTAGTCCACCGCACTTGCAATTCTACTTCTGCTTGGTGTCATTTTTTGAAGTTCAATGACCTGCGCAACACCCGTGAAGGGAGAGACGCAGTTCGTTGTTTATGTTCCATGCTGCAGTAGTCTGCCTCCGTCAACTGTGTTGTTGTTGTTGTTGTTGTTGTTGTAGTGTTGCCATCGGACGCGCAGCGCACGTAGTGCTACTCTGTTTGTGTATTGAACAATATACATGGCGGTCTTACTGGTTGCATTTAATCGAGATAGAAAAATGATGAAGATGTCTATGACACACGCAGCAAGAATAATCCGTCCGACCGATTAGGGGTGGGTTCTACGCCACCTGATGAAATGGATTTGAAGCAGCCATGCTGCGATATGTTACTTTGCTGATGTACGGAGGCTACATTTACCTCATGACCTAAACGAGGTTAGGTAGCCGAAAGGTTGAATTCTTTTGGATGATTGAAATCCATGTCAACTCCGGTGTGCAGAACCGGCTGTCGTGTTTAGACCATATGCCTAATGTAAGGAATGGGCTAAAGTAAATATGTAAATACGTAAGAACCTTTCTATTTTTATATCTGTTTCGGCTACTAGTCTTACACATCAATTTTTTCAATTCCGATTCACATCTTCAAGAAGATACCCCAAGCATGCACGGCGATCGCCCAAATTTGCAAAGTGTAAGTAAAGAATTCGAATATATTTTGAGTACATCTCTTCGTAAATACAAATATATAATTAAATAACAATCGAAATTAATTCAATTTGTTTTCTTTTTTTCGTTTCGGAATATGCAGCTATCTTTGAGATCGATTTTCGTCAGTGGTTTCCAAGAGGAAATCTAAATGGTAGATAAAAGCTTCTGTTCTTACCTACAGATGCGTTGAGGTAAATATAATCTTGCTACAAGTTAAAAAAAAAAATATATGTATATATTTAGTCAATGATTATTGGAACTGTTCTGCCGAATACTCACATCTATAGGATATGTGATATGCATGTTGGAATATTTCTCAATTAAATTAAACAAGCGTTTTAAGATTACATTGTTCCGTTTAACAAGGAAGTCACACCAATCCAAAGTGCAAGTAAAGAATTCGAATATATTTTGAGTACATCCCTCCGTAAATACAAATATGTAATTAAATAACAATCGAAATTAATTCAATTTGTTTTCTTTTATTCTTTTCGGAATATGCAGCTAACTTTGAGATCGATTTTCGTCAGTGGTTTCTTGCCGAAGAGGCCATTAGGCTAATTATTATTAAAAAAAATGAATGTAAATTTAAAAAAATTTTAATCAGTGTTCCTTTCAAATTTCATTAGGGCTGCTCGTAATTTGGCTGAATTTGGTGTATTAATGCTAAATATTATGTCCGAAACAACTCACCAGATGTTGATTTAGAAGCATACAAAATATTTTTTATAAGAATTGCATTTATGATTTTAGCGACAGCTGTATTGAGGTTCGATTGCGTATATTACTCCACTTCAAAGTAAACATATGTTGCAACTTTAATATCTAAATTAAAAGTTGTTAAAAAATCAAGACGGTATTCTCCAAGAGGAAATCTAAATGGTAGATAAAAGCCTCTGTTCTTGCCTAAAGATGCATTGAGGTAAATATAATCTTGCTACAAGTTAAAAATAAATATATATGTATATATTTAGTCAATGATTATTGGAACTGTTTTGCCGAATACTCACATCTATAGGACATGTGGTATGCATGTTGGAATATTTCTCAACTAAATTAAACAAACGTTTTAGGATTACATTGTTCCGTTTAACAAGGAAGTCACACCAATCCACGTTTATATAAATAACAAAAGGTACATAGCCAACAGGGCGTTTAATGTAAGATTTCATTCGTAACTGGAAACACAAAAAAAGAACAAATATTTGTAATAGCGCATTGTATAAAAATGTAAATACCTACATTTATTTGGTTGATTGGACGTTCCTTAAAGTAGCACAACGTTTGCACCTTACTCTCATTACTTTTATCTAGAATCCGACATTCCTCCAATGATACCAAGTCTGGATGAGAAGTTCTGCATTGAATATTTTTAAGCTTTACAAAACTGTGAAGTTGGTTACTGCTGACTTCAGCTACCATTAACACACAAATGAGTAAATATGTGTATACAAGCGTGGCTATCATTTTGAAATAGTAGAATAAAAATTCAATTTTGAAAGATAAACGGTCAAAGTAAGGGTGTTCAACGCGATTCTAAATGCTAACAAATTCGATTAATTACTATAAAGAGCAATTATGGAGATTAGCCAATTAAATTAAATATGTAATGAGACTTGATGCATTTGGACGAATAAATATGAAACGTAGTATGTCCGAAACATATTTATTGAAATTTACAAAGTAGCTTTTGTCAATAAACCTATTTAATTGCTTATCACACTATAAATGTAAATATTAAAACTTTATGCGAGTAAATTGGATATTATCTTTTCTCTACTTGAACCCAAAGCGCACAAAACATGATTTAAAAAAAACTCACATAATTAAGTTTACTGATATATTTAATGTTTTTGGGTTTTCTATAATTTTGTAGTTAATGCTGCTTGACGCATGACGAATAAGAATTAGCAGCTAGTCAGCATAAGTATGTGTAAGCGTACTTAGTATTTCCAGAAATTTGGGTTTTGAGCCATACGCCGCTGAAAGTTCGTATACCAGTTTTGCAAGGTTGAAAGTGGCACAAATGTTTCGGTACTGAGCGGAGGGATTTGCTGTGGAGTTAATCCAAAACTGGATGCATAATTGAAGAAGCTTTCTAGCATTTTTTGACTAAACTGAAGATTTGCATTAGCGTTTTGCTGGAAAATATATTGTTGAATATTTTATTTAGTCTTATTAGTAAAGCATATTTTACGTCAATAGCAACTTACCACAGCAGGTGTTAATTGAGCAACAGTAAGTTCCTGCTCAACAGAAATGCCAATTTGCGCTGTATGAGAAATCTCTTGCGCTCCAAATATCATGCCATGTTCTTCCGCTTCTAACTCATGACTTTTCTTTAGCTGTGAAATCTTAAAAATTGCCGAGGGCTTAGCGTTTGAAATGTGTCCCAAGTACTGCCAGGTAGGGGCTGAATTAGAGTCGGGCCAGCTAAAGTAAACTGCTGCCGCTGTTGTCTCGGGAAGTGCTGTTACTCCAGTTAAAAAAACTACAATATAATTTACATGGTCAATGTCTGACACATTGATTACTACCTTATTTTCATCCACGGGTGTGAAATTAGTCTGTGGCTAAAAACAACATACATATTCTGATTATTGAAAGAAGTACATACATGTGAATATGTGAATAGCGTACTTACCAAACGGCCTGAAATTATTAATCCAAACATTTTAATAATATCTTAAAATATACAAATAATAACGTATTCTAGAACAATGAGGGAAATAACGCGTTTGGGGAGATTGGTTTTAAACAAATTGATGTCACAGAGTCAGCTGTTTTCTTTCGCCTCTCGCTGCAAAACTGCCAAACAAGCTTGCCATATGTGTTAACTTAAGACCAACTACACAATTTAAAAAAAAAAAATGCCAAATACGAATATGAGGTGATATCTAAAGCATATTCTAGAGCGTGCGTCAAATATTCGTTATCGAGAACAACCAAACAGATATAACCATTACCTTGTAGCAGCAATGATATACACCCGTCTATGTGCAGCAAAATCCGCCCGTAAACAAATAAAATGAAGACTCTACGTCAAAAAGCTGCAAACGCAACAGGCATACGAATGGTTTTCCACTCGGCTTGTACTACTGCTCTCTGAGTGCACTCTTTTGCTATTAGGGTATAAAGGAGCTGGGCAGCATTTCCTTCCTTCGTACAGCAGCTGCAAACGAAATTATTTGTTCTCGGAGACGTCGTAAGAACAGCTGGTACGATAAGTACTGCCGTGCGAAGTGGTGAAAAACCACCGTTGTGATCACTCACTACTCGTGCGGAGTGGGAAGGATACCAAAGATAAAAGATAACGAGAAGTGAAGAGGGAAGCAATACACATGTGCATGTCAACGCCAGTAAAGAATAAGAAACTGTGCTTTAATAGAGAGTTTTTTAATTAGGCTGTACAACGATAATTAGTAAGCTATGACAAGAGATATCAAAATGTTTGTTCCATCAAAGAAGATTAACAACAATAATCTCATAATTTTATCTACTATATTTAAGCGTTCGAACATGTAAAGAGGCAGGTTATATACTATCGCTGGAAAACCGAGGAACACAACCTGGCAATGAAACGGCGAACTAGCTGGCTCGTGCTGGTGGCGGAGGCGAGGCGCAATGGGGTAAAAGTACTCGAAACGCGCATTAGAGAAAAAAATTTAAGTAGCAGGCAGGACAAGTTTTGTTAATTTTTCTTATTTAACATACATTAGGCCATCAGAAAAGCTTTTTTGCGATAAAATAGAACCACCCATTCCAAAGATATGACCACTCAAAGTTGAGCAATCTAGAGCTAAATTTTTTTTTTGTATGAAAAGTGTTTCATTGGTGGTTGTACAAAATATCTAAAGAAAATATATTTGTCAACTCAATAAATATATTTTTCGCACGTGGCACCTAAAAATTACTTTAGAAATTGTAAGTGTTCGAATATCTTATAAAAAATTAGCACTTTGTTAAAAATTAACAATTTTTTGGTTCACAGCTTTTTTTTTGGCATCGCAGATCAACGAAACACTTTAGATGCATAAGCTATGAGCTTTTCAATATAATAGTAATCCTTGAACTAATTGAAATTATACATATGTATTTGGCGCTTTGGAACTAATGAAGCGAGTTTTGGCAGAGTATTATAATCCACCCTCCCATGGTCGATATTTTTTATGAGGAGCTTTTTTAATTTATGTATGCGTATGGGGGAACCCGAATTATAAAAATTAGTTTTGGATGTTGGTCGGACCAGGAGTCGAGCCTTGGCCTTCCCAATAGTATTACATAATTCTAATCACTTGGTTATTGCGCGCGCCATTGCAACTGTGAGTTTTTAAAATAAGTAAATTCATTTGGTTTGCGTTGCTTGGGTCGCCATATCGCAATAAGATTTTTAAAGAATTCAGACGTCGATGTGACGGGATAGACTAAAGAATTAATAATCTTATTTTATGTATGTATATCATGCTTTTTTGACGATCTTAATTAACGGCCGCGGTGGCCGAGTGGTTAGCATTGCGTACTGCCATTTGGAAGGTTCGGGTGCGAATCCCCGTGCGACCAACATCCAAAAAATTATGCTAAATTTAATTGCGGTCGCTCCTCAGCAGGGAATGTCAACCCCTCCGAGTGTATTTCTGACATGAAATAAAGCTCCTCGTAAAAAATTAATCAGCCGTTCGAGGCGGCTCAGTATAAACTGTAGAGTCCCTCCATTTGTTGGTAAAACATCAAGACGCAAAACCACAAATTGGAGGAGGAGCTCGGCCGAAAATCGCTTCAGCGGTTACAAAGCGCCAATTATACATAATTAACGGACAGCCGGTGGATATTCTCCTTCTACTTATTAAAATAAAAACCATACAATAGAAAAAGTTAGTCGGACAACTCTACTATGAAATAAAATAAATTCGTATTCGTTTTAACAAAGTTTTTCAAGGAAAAGTGGTCTTTTTTAAAGAAATCCGCAAAATTTAAGTTACCGTATGCACAATGAGAAAGTAACCTCAATCAGTAGGAAAATGCTTAATATTTGCACTTTTATTTGAATTAGAAGATTTGTAAGATATCTTAATTTCCGACTGTAAAGTGCCAGTCCCAGGAAGTGTAAATGTATTTGTAGAGCTTTCAATTCTAATTGAACAATTTTGAATCAAATGTCCAAATTTAAAGAAAGTCTCATCAATGGTATAGAAATTACAGCATAAAATAAGTAATGCGCGTGTTTTAAGCGCTTTTATCCCATTGCGAAATACCACTAATCTTGGATAGTAGACAGGCCTAACTGTTAGTTGCATTAAGCAAAAGAGAACTACATTCTTATGGGTATATGACTGGGCATCAACATCGGAGAAGTTTTCTCCATAAGCTAGGTTAAGAGCCCAGAGACTTATACTGTACATAGTTTAAACCACGATTATAATGTTCTGTTATTAAAACGTCCTAAAATATTGCTAAATCGGAAATTTCAATTTATTCTGCGTATTAAGGAAGAACTAGGACAATTTATTTGATAGTTAGGAAACAATGAGAGAGATAGAGTACTTTTGCCTTACTTGGTATAAAAAATTAGTAAAATGGTTATTGTTAAAATTTTGTCATTAAAGTGTATATATGAAGGTATGTCCTTCTCTAAAAAATCTTTTCAGTCTTTAACCTACATATATGATATATTATTACAATTTTGACTATGTTAATAACTTCATGGGTTTATGTAGATGTCACAATGGATCTTAAGCTATATTTTAGAAACCATGCAAAATATTGTGTTACTAAGATAGTTCAAATAGATATACAATAGCGCGCCGAACATGTAAAAATGTTCATGTGCACAGCTCATGTAGATAATGTACCAAGTAACCTCTAAAAAGGGCTGGGATCTCTATTCGGCGGTTTGGATTATCTAAAATCAAAAAGCATGGTTGATTCTTTTAAACCATAGATTAATGATGGCGTTTAGCGAAGTTATTTGTTCGTTCAATACATATGAACCACATAAAAAGAGATTGTGTAAAAACTTGAAACCGATTGGTTTATCCATTTTGAGAGACCTTGAAAATATCGGTTTTACAAAAATGCGTTAAATTTCAGTTGTTAACTCAAAGTTTATTTTTTTTTTTGTTATTCCAATTCAAAATATTTCCATAAATAATTATCGAGGAATACCTCTTAAACATTTGTATTTACATTCCAAAAGAGCAAAAAAAAAATATTTTTGAAAATTCGTAACGTATTGGCATTCTAGCGGTGTGAAAAGTTTACTATGTATAGTTCTCAGCAATCGGTGATAGAGCCAATCCTTAAATATACTTAATAAAAATCCAAATAGTAAAATCTTTATCCAGGTTAAGGATAATCAATAATTTTGTAAAATTTATTAAATAAATTCGAAAAATTAGTTACAAAAATTTTAAACCATTTGGTTTTGATGGGCTTAATAATTTTTTTAATTTTTTGATACTTCATTCGGTATTCCTTTTCGTTCAGGTAGATGATGGCTACTTGCTTCTGGTAACATTGTATTCCTCTTTGTTCCTATGGAAGAAGTTGATTCTGCAAATCCCGTTATTTTTTTGGAAACTGTTTCGAGTGGCGGCAATAATTCTTTCTCTAATTCTGAGAGTTGACCAAATATATTAGTAAGAAATTGCAAAATCTCTTTGTTATGAGCAGTTTTATTGCCAACACTTGGGGCTGCGAGTCCACATCTTCCAACATAATGCATACATCGACTATAAAAATTTTAATAAAGATCTTACAATATGAAGTATTTAAAAAACAAGATACAAAACAAGAACTAAATAACACAAATACAATGGCTAATATACTTTACATACAACGGCGGTTTGTTATCTGTCCTCTGAATAGCTGTTTGTATTAGAGTATGTGTGTTTTAAATCGAAGCATATGGTTCTAGTAGTGAACGAGGACAAGACGAAATATCTCCTGTCGTCAAACAGGCATCACATGAGCGATTTGGCTCCCAAGTCAATGTTGACAGTCATATCTTTGAAGTTGTAGATAACTTCGTCAGTTTTGCAACCAGTATTAAAGCCAACAACAATTTCAGCCTGGAAATCTAGCGCAGAATCATTTTTGCCAACAGGTGCTACTTTGGACTGAGTAGGCAATTGAAAGGAAAAGTCCTCTTTCGATGAACGAAGACCAAACTCCACAAGTCGCTCATCGTTGCTGTAGTTGTAACCGCAAAAATATTCCCTAAAGAACTTTTTGGAGAATGTTGACGGAGTGACAGTCCTTGGCTGGATAAAAATCCGGGTCGTTCCGGCATAAAGACCCGACTTTTGCGGGAACTATTGGATTTTAGTCGCCCTTACGACAGGCATGCCTTACCGCGGGTAGGTCCTTGAACCCCTAACCCGCAAGATCACTCATCGACCATAATAACATCTGATAAGTCGAAGTTAGGAGTTTTCTAGAGAAAGGTTTTACGTGAGATTTAACTGATGTCTATCCAAAAGTTTATGTAGAAAGGACATTTCTCAACCGATTCAGTCCAATCCTGCAGGTTAAGTAAAATAATAGTGCATATAATACGGCAATTTTCATCTTTTTTCCTAGTTCTTTCTGATTAAAAAATATAATCAATCAAACATCTTTGAAACAAATTGTACTTTTTTTGGGAAAAATACCAATTCTCTTTGAGATATTTCAATTTGAAATTACCCTTTGAGCGAAAAAAAGAAACGGATGGCGCATTGTTATAAATTCGGCAATATTCGCGTAAGCGGTGTCTACGCCACTTAAGAAGAAGAACAATGTCATTAAATTAACTTAAATTTTTGTTTATAACAAATTTTACCGCGATGTATACTAATTGCAATTAAAATCAAATGCCAAATGATTTTACATGTTTTGGCAGTCGCAAATGCGCCTTTAATACATACTCGCACTTGGTAACATAATACAACCACCGGAGTAAAAAATTGAAAAGGCTAATCCCAATGAACATCGAAGTCTTTTAACGTTTCAATATCATATCAAACTTATTGTATTGGATGCTTTATTTACAACCTTTTTCTAAAATTTCTCCGCGGTACTGACAAATGATCGATACAGTATGAAAGTACGTCTGTGTACTTGGTTAAAATATCTAAAAACTGAGATACTAGTTTGGGACTGATGTTGTTCTGATACGATCGATATTAAGTTTGGTAGGTCTCTCTCTTATCCTACTTCGGACCAAAGTTAATATACTACTTCTTGAATTTTTGAAGTGCTTCCGCTCATATACATGTATTTTATATTAATTATAGCATTACTTTATTAAAATAAAAAGCATTAAAAAGAAGTTAGCCTATAAGTTTTACTAGAAATTGAAATGATTCCATAGAGAATCAGCGCCAGAAAGGGGTCGGGCTTGTCATTTCGGAAAATGTTGAAAAAAAGAACACTATTTATTACCGTTTACCAAAAAATCACAATTTTATTGATATCAAAATTGAAAATTTTTTTCTCAAGACCTTGTGAATTGGTCTATATTAATAATATGTTTTTCTAAATAATAATGGCTTATAAGAAAAAAACTAGGAGTTACATACATATATCGCTTCCAAAGATTTAAAAAAAAAGCGAAGTTACGTTCAAAATAGTTGCAATTTAAATTTTTTAGAAAACTACAATTCTGGTAAAACTTTTTATTGAAGAAATCCGCTGGCTTATGCTCCCATAAAAAAGTTTTCTCACGTTAAGGACTTTTAGATTAATATTATTTAACATTTACATTTCTCCATGAGCAAGATGATATGTAAGATTTCTAAATTTCCGACTTTTGGTGGCAGTCTGAAATAGTATGTATAAAGATTTGTATATCATCTTAACAATTTTTAATAAACTATCTTAATTTGAACAACATAGTTCAATAATGTTGCAATTACATTACTGAATTTAAAATTTCAAACCTTAATATGGCATGACCAAATCAATTCAACTCGTCATTAAATTCTGTACACTTTTTGTTAAAAATATCATACTAAGTGATTTATTAAATTTATTCTAACGTTGGTCAGATGCTGAGGTATGAAAAAATTGACTTAGAAACTTTTATTTATAACAAATTTTACTACGCGTCGCCAATTCGCTGATGATGAAATTAAAAAAAGCACACTAATTGCGATAAAAATCAAATGCCAAAAGTTTTTATATGTTTTTGCAGTCGCAAATTCGCCTTAAGTCGGTACATTTCTTGATTCAAAAGTATTTCTATTTGCTAAATGCTCAGATAATTAATTTTAATACTTGGTACTAGAATACAAGCATCGGAGTAAAAAGTTAAAACGGTTAACCATTTTTAGTGAATTCAAATAGACGATCAACTTTAATTTGGGATAGTGATTTTTGAGTTTTGAAATGGTTAATATTGAATATTCTAAGCAAAGTTTGAGGCAAAGTGTCACACGGCGATAAGTGCGGTTTGCTAACTCATGGCTTGCAACCAAGAAAGAAGAAAATCCATTGTGAAACGTAGATATCCAATTAAACCATTCATCAACGTTTTTTATAGTTTCCCATATACCTTTCAGAGGTCAGAAGAAAAGTTTGATTATGAGTCGTCGTTAAAAAAAGGAGGTACCATTCAAAACAATATTCAGACACAAAATTTCGCAATTAAACATACACAAAACGAAAGAGAATTATATCTTAATCGCCTAAAAATTTTATGTTTTGATAAACCAACCAAATATGATTTTCCTGTGGAAGAAAATAAAATGGGAGAGATTTTCAAACCAGACATTCAGATAACAGTCAGCAAAGATTCCTCAAAGCAATTAAATACTGGAACTATTCTTAACCCTGTTATGAAATTCCCTTTAAAAGAACCTTTAATTACGAACAAACTTTCCGAACAAAGAGTTAATATATTGCAAAGATTTGGGATCTTGACCTCTTACATGGGACCGCTCCCACCAAAACTTGCAGGCAATCGATATTCTGATCACATAAACAACATGGAACACTTTCCCATAACTAAAGTGATCAATGTTCAAAAATCAAAAGAGAAAGGCAGCGACGAACTTTTTTTACACAAAAAAACAGATTTAGCTACAAGTGCATGCACAATTGCTCTGAGAATCAGCGATGCTTCATTTCCAAGAGTGATTCAATCTGGAAATTTTGTTGATGAAAATTATTATGGGGAAATATTGTTAGAAACAAATAATGAAACAAAAACGAGGCTGCGAAATAATGTATGCACAAAATATCAACAAAAGGAACCAACATATCGTTATATACATTCTATCAGTGACGGTGTATTGGCAACAGAAGCGGCTAAAAATATCTCTTACTTGAGGCGGCCAAAAAATGGCGACGAACCGTCGCATATCTTCATAAAAACAATTAAATATTCAAGATCACCACTGCGAATACAGTGCTTTGGCAAGAATACGAATAATTTAAAGAAACGTCAACGACATGTATGTAAACGAGGGAAAAGAGCTAGTAGAAGAATGAAAATGATAAAAATGCCACATCCACGGAGGGTCTCACAAAGTAGAGCACGAAAAATTGAGAAAATAGATGATTTCGTATTTAATACTGAAAGAATTAGATTTAATAAACTCTCTGATATTCATCATAAAGGCCAGCAAGAGCCATGGTCAACGCATTTCGTTCACTCAGAAGTGTGCGACTCGTCGCTGCAGGAGGATCTTATTGTAGATGGCCAATTTTTTTGCGTGCCGTGTCAAACGCGTATTCGGGTACAATCTCTTCTTTATTTAATTGAAAATTTGCCAATTGCAAATCTAGCAACTTCCACACCCGTATCTAGCAACTACCGGCTAACCTTATTAGAGTATTCGGTGCCCACGAGCAAAACAATTTTTATTCTAACGAAAAACAACGAGTATGAACGTTCGGTAGATAAATATTTTTTTCTAACTATAAACAGTGACGTCAGGACCGTTCTCTCCATAAAAGATGAAGAGGAAAAGGCTTCAACTAAGCTGCAACGATTATTGAAAACAAATGTTTTTAATGGAAACTTTGCTGTTGCAATGCCACAAACAAAAATTGAAGAAAAAGAAGAGAATAATATTAGCGTGACTTCATTTAAATCAGATGAGAATTCAAATCTATGTTTCGACGAGCGATTCCTCAATGAAGTGAAATTCGAAATGAATGATACCAATATTGTGCCAAATACTATGACGCAATCATTGAATGAAAGAATTCAATTTATAAGTTCGTCAAAAGAAGCGGACGTAGCAGGTGGCAGCGGTATTCTGTGTGCGGCAGCCGATATTTCGAAGTTGGCAAATTTTGGTAAAAGGCGACGAGAACTTGTTACGTTACCCGTCTCTTGTTGCAAAGTCTCCAATGATGTGAACAATTCTGTGTTGCCTACTCGCACGTTACTTCGGCGCCAGAGAAGTTTGAAGTTACAGAATACGACAGATAAGCAGGAGGACCCTATAGAGAGACTCAATCGACTACGTGCACGGATATCGGGTGCTTTAAGCGAAGTGAAGGGTGTGCTAAAGCACTACAGCATAGAAGAGGGCATAGAAAATGCACAAATTTCAACAGACTCTTTTCCAAACATAAATCTGACTAATGATTCGACAGCAAGAATTGAACCAAACCAAATTACATCGTCATTGGAAACTATAAGAGATGAAGGTCCAGTAAGTTTTCGATTCGTTAGAAAAGTGCGTCGTCAAAGTGTTTTTAGTGAAGGCGACGTTGGAGAAAAGAAAGAGGCAGAAGATGGAAAGGATAAAAATGAAGGAGAAACCAGGAGTTGTGTACCTTCACGAGATGCTTCAATGGAGAAAAATTATACAGACCAAGTTCCTTTAATTCAACCAGATTATAATCCTAAAAATTGTAATCAATTAAATGAAAATATCTATTCCGGCTTTGAAAATCAACTTTTAAAAATAGGAAACCAAGCTACGCAAATAACTGATCGGCAAAATGAGTTAAACAATGGGGTAGAGAAGAAAGAAACAGAATTAGGAGAGAGTACAAATGGTGGAGAAAGAAATAGTTGTGTACCTTTTCAAAAAGATTCAAAAAAAGAAAATTGTATGCAGAAAGTTTCTTTAATCCATGCCGATTATAAAATTAAAAATTGTGATCAATTAAAAGAAGATATTTGTTTCGACTTTGAATGCCAATCTTCACAAACAGGATATGACGCGCCACAAGTAACTGATCTTCGAGAAAATCTAAATCTTCATTCTACGGATGTGAAGCTTGCCCATTTAGCGACGTTAAAAGAGGAAGCCACACCCGATGGAACTCACGAAGTAAATAACATAATAAGATGTGATACTAACGATTTCCATTTATCGGCAAAAGAAATTACAAGCAAGAAAAAATTTAATACAAAATCGATACGTGCCACTCGTCGTGCATCAATTGCCGTAGTTGAAGGCTCACAAATTGACCCAGTGATAAACACAGTCATTCCTCTTGCAATAAAAATACAACGGCGACCTTCAGATTCCGAAACGATAATCAAAAAAAAGGTAAAAGCTTCGGAAGCAGCCAACAATTCATCGACGAAAAAAATCGTGAAAGTGAAACGAATGCCCGTGAAAAATAAGCTAGATGTATTAACAAAAAAATTAACGGCCTCAAATTCAGAAAATAACCAATGTATTATCAGCGCCAAGGGAAGTACATCAAATAACACAATATCTCAAGCGAAAACAACGAAAGAATTAAGCGGAATAGCATTGCCAAAAACCTCAGATATATTGTCATCACAATTAACGATCGCAATCGAAGTCAATGATGCACCACTAAGCAGTGCCCAAGAGCCAGGGGACATAAAAAGCGAGGTTACGCAGCTGCTATCTATAGCAACAAATAATTCGCGGTCATCTACTGAAATTGTTGATGCGAATAGTGTAGTGGTGGCGGTGTTGGCAAGTCCGTTGCAGGCAGGCAAGGCGAGCAGTCGTACAAACAACTCAGAAAATCAACCAACAAACCTTTTCGTAGACAACGGAAAAATTGTGGAGGAACAAAACTTATCCCACAGTAAAGAAATAATAGAAATAAAGTCAACGAAATCTACTGATCCTCAGCGAGATCTCAGCATTAAGCACAATTTTGAAGGAGTAGAGAACTCACAGCTGTTAGAATGCATAGTTAACGATACGACTCAATTAGAAGCAGAATCTATAAATACAGACTTAGTTTCCACTGACCTTAAAGGTTTTGAACAACAAAGAGCGTTAAAAGCTAAACAACATTACTTACCTCAATTAATAGACGAAAAACAAATAGATGAAAAAATGCCAGAACTGCAGGTATCTCCCACACCTGTGAAGCCGGTGCAAGCATTTGCAGAAAACAGTGCTGATAAGATAAGTATTTCAAAAAAGAAAACGGTAGTCAGAAGAATTGCACGAAAGGTATCAGTAGACAAATCCTTAGAAAAAACTAAAGCAGAAGAGAGTCAATTGGAAGAAACTGCAGTAGGTAAAGAAAACAAAGAAAACGAAAGGCTAATAATTGAAGACAAACAAACAGGTGTTGTTGTAAATAAGGCGTCCCAAAACTCAACTTTTTGCAATGAAGTTTCAACAGAAAAAGAGAGCTCTCCCGGAGCTTCCGCTATAGCGCCTCCACTCGAAAAGCCTCGAAAAGTTAAAAAGAAAGTAATTATAAAACGACAGCATCGGAAACTCTCGGTGGGCGAAAATTCATTCTTTAAAGAAGCTGAAGTTGTACAAGGTGCTACTGAGACTCTTGAAAAAGCTATAGCCTATGTTACAGATGACGAAGAAGATAACAAAGCACAGATTGCTGAAGTGTGCCACCCAATAAAGTCTTGCATGAAATCTAGGGAATTTCAAGTGGGGGATTGGGTCATGTATGGTGAACGATTTCGGAAAACTCAAATACGTTGGAAAAAAGGTCAAATTTCTGAACGCATTACGAGCATTTCATACAAAATAAAAATAGATGACAAAGAAGTTTCCGCACATATCAGTTACATTAAAAAATACACGGGTCGAAAAGTTAATTTCGGAGGTAAAGAATATCTAGAAATCGACTATGAACAACTTGCAGAAGAGGAGCGCCAGGCTCGTTCATACAGCATATGGAATATGGTTTAAAAACTAAAAATCTAGTCAAATACTAAGTATATTTTACTCCAGTTTATCGTCTTATTTCATTTGTAAATATAAATTAGAAACAAATCTTGTATATAATGTTTCAGGAGAAGCAATGCGGTTGTTGCATTAGACTTGTACAAAACGTATTGTAAATATTGTTGATTTTTATCTCGCATAGATATTATATAATAATATATTGGCTTTTTCATTAGACATCCTGTTTATATTTGTAAATAATTCATGAAAATGCTAGTAAACTTTGAGAAGTTCTGTAGCATATACTTACGAGTACATATGTGTGTATGCGTATATGCTTTGTACATAAATGCAAAATGTGAAATATATTACTTTGTTAGGGAAAAACAAACGGAATATATGTATTATGTAGACAAAAATTGTAGTTAACAGAAGTAAGGAAATGGGAATTATTTTAAAAATTATGGTATGAATTTATATAAATTCATATGTGGATGCATATGTATGTATGTATTTCTACAATAAATTAATGCGTTTGCATACATAAGAGCATTCCATTTTAATACTAAGTACCGACTCAAATATTATATACATATGCAAGTGTCGTCATACTTCAGATCATTATAATGTGCAAACAAATGAAAATGCTTACATTTTCTCAAATTTTTCGTGCTTAGCAAATTAGTTACGAAAAACGAACTATAAGTCGAAAATTCACAAATAACCTTCGGATGAATTAAACGAGATGAATATGTAGCACATATACATACAAATATATACATATATTTGTATATACATATATACTCATACACATATATATGTATGTGTGTGGCCATGAGTCGCCGACCATGGCCTCAAAACAAAAACGTGGTTCTTGGCCCCAATGCTGAATGGGCAAACGTCTACTGAATGAAATGAGAGGAAAAATTATTTTCTAACAATCGTCTAATTGATAAATTATAGAGCATTCGTTTATGTTTAAGTCCCTATGCGTGAAAATTGGTAATTTCAACAACAATTCCATTTTATACGTAAAAGTTATTCATCGAAAACCTGCTGTTGGTACCGTGTTGTCTTCAAAATCAAAAAAAAAAAGAAGCTCAATACCTACTCGGGTCTGTGAACCCACGCTAAATATTTTGGGTTTTCCAAATAAATTAAATGCAACAATTAAATCATTCTAAGGTCAGTGGCAAGGCAATAAGTTCTGTTAACACAACTATTTTTAAAAATATAATTTTTTATTTTTCTGTTCTGCTTTATAAATAACAAAATTTCACAGTAACACAAATGTGCATATACATATATGTATATACCTATATTGTTAAGAGATAGCTATGCATATATTTATGTAAACGTGTATATGTATATATCTATATTGTTAAGAGATAGCTATGCATATATGTATGTAAACGTGTATGCATCAAATGAAATAACTAATATATACATATATGCATGTTTAAGTATGGATCATTTTTTATACCTTCAATTAGCACTTATTAGGAGAAGTTGGATCCACTAAAAAATAAAATACATAAATTCGACGAAGAACCGAAAGAAATGCTAGGCAGGAGTTAGTTTTAGAACGATTGAGCCAAACTTTAGTTTGCAACTTTCGACTATTCAAATGTGTATATGATTCTGGCAACTTAATAAATATGTAGTCTTAAATTTTATATTCCACCTTGCTATATCGTAAAAAAACGGTGAAAAATCCGTGGCTGTATTTAATGATTATCTTTTCAGAATTAAAGTGTTTTCTTTCTTCATTGTTTTTATAATTTTTTGTAGTTGATAATTGTTTATCGAATCTTACTTAAACATACAATTGGTGTTTTGTAACCGCTGAAACGGTTTTCGGCAGAGCCCCTCCTCCAATTTTCAATGCGCGTCTTGATGATTTTGCCTACAAATGGAGGGGCCTCTAAAGTTAATACTAAGCCGCCTCCGAACAGCTCTTGGTTTATTATTATTATTATTATTATTATTATTGTTATCTAAACTAATTTCTTAATTATTTAAACAGTCAAGCAATAGTAACTAATATTGAGAGGAAAAATAAAATATCGCTCAGAAAATTAGTATCGGAGTTTGAGCAATACTTTAAGCTGGTATATTAGTACACTGCTATTCCAAAGTAGGTTTATAATCATAAGTGCGTAATCTTCCCCATTAGTGATCAACTTGTGATAAATAAGTACAAATTTTAAATAGTAGCCAAATAGATTTGAATTCCATTTGAAATCAAATAGTATTAGAGGTTTTTTCTTGGCTTAAGAAATGCGCACCCGCACAACAGTCGACTTATAATTTAATAACAATTATGTACGAGTAAGCGTTTCATTTATTTTATTTTCCATTTCGTTAAATATCATTTTCTTTAAAGCAGTAAATTGCTTAAATTTAACCATTTTATTTTAAATAATTTAACTATTTTTTTTTGTTGATTCGGAAATGATTTGCGCTTGATTTGTGTCTTTATTAACCAATGCATGAATGGCAAAAAGCTATTTATACTTGTGGAGGAATTTATGAAAATGTTATTTTCAATCGCCCGGTACTTGTAGGGTATATTGTTATAAATCAAGTCAACAACGACTGCTTGCGCACTTTGTCATTTCTGTTGAAATGTTGTACAGCATACACTTGTATACATATTCATGTTGAATATAAAAAGAAAAGAAAAAATATTTAAACGGTGCCAAAAACTGACAAAAAAGTCTTTCGGCTTTTTCGTATCTAAAAAATAGTTACATTTAACATCCAGCGATCGCACTGAATGATCTAATCGCAGCCGATCAAATTTATTAATATAGACTTTTTCAAATAGTCGTGTTAGACACTCATCGCATATTACTATTATATAAGGTTTGAATTTGGTCATTATCCCTATCAAACAAATCAAGGCTGATGCTTTTTTTACTAGGAGCCCTTTATTTCATGTCCGAAATACCATCGGAGCGGTGGACATTCCCTGCCGAGGGGAGACCGCATTTAGAACATTTAACTTAATTTTTTATTTAAATTAATTTCGGGATATGAACCCCTCCCTTTCGAATGTCAGTACGCAATGTTAACTATTCGGCTATCGCGGCCGCCTAGGAAATAAGAATTGTAGTTAATCATCCTTAATACATTCAACATTAAGTAATTTATTCTAATAGGATTTTATATTGATGAATTTCAGACATCATTTCCTCTGCCACAAGGTACCATTTATTTTGTATAATATATTTAATGATATAAAACTTGTAAGCATGAAATAATTTCTTTTTCAAATCACTTCTCTTATTCTCCAACAAAATAAATTAAAGATATTTTAGTTAGAATAAAATATTTTAAAATATATTTATATTTTTTTAAAATAAGGAATCATGTTTATGAAAGAAACCAGATCGACCAATTCACCAGCTGGACAAAGGATGACAGGCTCGAACACGATGGTGTCTAAATTTTGATCACAAACAACTTAAAGTTACTTGGGCCCACATTCGACAGCCAACACTTAGCGCAAAACTGCATAGCCGAAGCAAAATCCTCGCATTACTAGAAGGCAGCATATGGAGTAAAGCAAAGAAGCTTTGCTAGCAAAGAACGAAACAAATGGCCGACCTGTCGTAAACTACGCTGCACCGATCTGGGCACCGGGGATAAACGAGACGTAGCTGATAAAGTAACAGGTCTGCCAAACTAATGTCGCCTGAGCATTACTTGCACTTCGAAGCATCTATACTACGAGTTAAGTAGCATCATAGGGTGAGTTCCAAAACGTCAGTTGCAATGCAACCATACATTGTCACGCATTCCTAAGTGCAACTGTGCAAACTTTGACGATGTATCATGTTCCAAAATGTATCGGTAAAGTTATTGATGCTTTAATTTGTCATAAATTCTTAACAACGACAGCCGACGTCGGAGCAAGTTTTTTGAGCTAATTCTTTTTTTTTTAAACAATATATTAAATACTTATTTTTGATCTGATTCCTAATTTAGCCACTTCAACGAAAAGCACCTTATTTGCCCGAAAAACGTTACAAAATGTCAGAGTTTGCAAAGTATTGTTGCCTTGTTTCAAAGTATTTTGACGTTTTGGAACTCGCCCATGCTTTCTAGGGCAAGCAATTTCTACGGGGATGCAGAACCTCCATCCAGTCACATCAGTAAGGGAGCATTAGACCTGAAGGACACAATCCAACCACAATCACTGAACAAGACGCCGTACAGATAGACACCAAACGCCATTCACCAGGAGTCAGACAACACTTTCAAAAACCTCCTCCCTGTGAATGGCGTCCTCGAAATCAAATCACCACCCATAGCAGATGAAGAGCTCAAGCTGCATCAAGACCCGCGTAAACTTAGGTCTGTCCCCGCACGACACTAACCACCTCTTTAGTTGCTCCTCTTGTTCGGCCCCGTTAAAATAGCTCGTTTCCTGGACTTCCCGTTACATGACCTCGGTGGCTTAGACTGACTAGTCTGTCCCTAAGCGGGGTTGGAAAAGCCGTTACAAAAACATCGCAAAAACCATGGTGACGGTTGTGAACAACATTAGTGCCTAAGGCCGCCTTTTGCTGTTAACTGATATTTTTGTACCTACTTCACAGCCAGCTTACTAAAAACAATTAGTTTTTACATAAAAAAAAATTAATTACAATATTTATTATATTTTTCATTTTTGCTTTTTTCATATTTCTTCAAAAACTAAGGTCAAAAAAAAACTTATTTCGAACTAATGAGTGACCAATTGTACCTTATGGATACTTTTATACTTTGTCTCTTCTTCTTTTTACACAAATTTTATATGAACGTATTTATCGCATATAGTATAAAGGAAATAGGTGTATATGGTGATTCCTTGATTTTGAACGAAATTTTGAGTTATGGTATTGGACATACATAGTCAGTTATTACCATCAGCAAATGCCACAAAAGGAAAAACTACAAGTAATATAAATAATCAAACTTACCAGCTCGTCGATTCAAATCGACACTCACTATTTACTATAGCTAAGTAAAAGTAAATTGAAGCGTACTCCTCTATCTCTTTTTGTTTTATTTCTATGTACTTTTATATAAATAAGTATTTATAAAACATAGATAACAATAGATCGAAAACAAGTCGAAACTACAAAGTCAAGAAATGACGCTATAAAGTTGTATTTTAATAGGCATAGTTATTTCATTAACTCTGGCCCATAATATAATAATTAAACAGTTTAACCACATCATTGAAAATACATTTTTATTTTTTATGCATCCTAATATATAATTTTATGTTTGTGACTGCGTCTATGATAACAGAAATATGAATACAGCTCAGAGTGATTAAAAATATTTTAAATTTCAAGATGGTTTTGCATAACAGATCAAACCATATAAAGTCCACCAATATGTATACCATTTTACCATTTGGTCTTAATATATAGAATGATCTGATCATTATTACGTGATTAATTAAAAACGAAAATGTATGCTGCAACGAACTAATTCTTCGAGATTACTATTCTGCAGACTGTTTGCTTATGATGTAGTTTATATTTCAGTTTTAAAAAGTCAGGAATATTTGGTAAATAATTAAATAAATACATTTCATTATAAAGGTCAACAGAAAAAATCTCAAGTATTAAATTAACAAATTTCATTATCGTTTATATAATATCGGAAATAATAATTTTAAGAGCTCGTAAATCACGAGATGCGGATGTTTGAAATACCTCTATCTGTTTTCGATAGGCTCTGCGGTATGTCAGAGTACATTTGGTCAAGTTTAGATTTAGACCGTCGTGGCATCGTTGAGCAATGCATTTAGCTCACGGGTGTGCTGCACCTTGGATCCAGTGGCGGCCGAAGCACTGCATGGTCTTCCGATGTAGCTATAATAGCAACAAAATATACAAGTAGGAAAAAACGCAATGGAGGAACACATCAAAAGTGTTGACAAAGGTTAGGACGATTAAAGGAATAAGAAGGATGAGAAGGTAGGTGAAAAGGAGAAAAATTAAAAATTAATAATAATAAAATCTTAGTTACATATTTTTAAATTTTTATAATAATTATCTAAATACCTGTATCCACAAGACATAACCGCATAAGTCTGGTTACAAATGCTTAGAAGCTTAGCCCAGCACGTTAGACGGTTATAGCTTGTGACTACTTATGCTTGGGGCCACCAATGAATGTAAACCAATTTAGGCATGCAAAATTTAAGCATTGTCAATAAATGAAATCAATGGCAGTTAATGAAAGGTACATTCATATGAATAAACTTGGTATAGGTTTAGATTAACGATATGAATGAGACAATGGCCGAATTATTTGTGAATGATTGTTATATCCTGTGAGCTCTTATTAGATCAAAGATAAATAAACATTTGTAAAACAATCTTAATATATGTAAATAGAACTTTCAATGAACCGATACCATTATATTTTTATATAAACTGTTTCAATATATTCTTTCTAGGATTCTTTCTTATTTCAATCAAATTTCGCAAAAACTACCGTGACTCATGTCGACATTTCATTCTAGACTTATCAACTAACTTAGTAATATTATTCTGTAAAAGGGATGTAGTTTATACGGGACAGTTGCGAATCATGTGATTTATTTACCGAACGCGGATAGGTATTTAAAAAAACAGAGCGGATGATGGGCAACTAAGAATTGAATTAAACAATTCACAAATTATAACAAGCATTTGAATCTACAAAGCAAGGAAATTCACGTAAGGGGGACGAAAATTAAATATTGGGGATGTTAGTTAGGTAGTTATTTTAATGAATTTTAACAATTTATGGAATTAGAAACAAGTAAACACATTGTTCAAACTTAAAATAATACTGCAATAACTTTAACAGTTATTTACTTCTTATCAACAGAGCACCAAATTAAATTTCATATATTTTTCTGGCCCTTAGAGTGGAATTTCCTTACATTTTCGACGAATATACATTTTATTAAAATACAACAGTTAACAATAACAATATATACGAAGAACAAAGTGCTAAAATATATATCTTACTGAAATTTTTTTTTGTTGTGTAAGGAAAGTAAAAGATTAATATAAGAAATAATGGAGGCATAGTTTGCAACTCTTTGCCTGATATAATTTCAAATTATATATTTATGAGTATAAATACGGATCGCTCTATTTCCTCACCTAATTTTTCGTCCAAAATTGTATTTAGGAGAAATGTCTCGAATACCAGCGGGCTTATTAAAATTGCCTTGCATATCACGAACTTCGCGCATATCAAAGTAGTCGACCGGTTTGTGATCGCCTTCAGCGGCCGTAGCCTTTTCATGGGCGAACACGCGACTCAACCATGGCTTAGATTTCGAACCGTGTTCGGAATCAGAAGCAGAGTCGTTACTTCTCTGGCCTGTAACTTGTGTAGAAGAGCTGCAACAATAATATACACAGACAAAGAATGGATTGGGATGTATTTAATATTCGATGTTTCCATGCTTATACAATTATTCCCCTGTATTCGTACTAGTTACTAAAACAGTTGAGCAGCGCATATTTCAAACAAAAAAAGGTATTTACATAAAATTATACATTTATGTACATATGACACTTTTCAATAGATCATATATTACACCATTGCATTTTTTTAAATTTTAGTAGATAATGCCAAGTTATTAGTGCAGGAACAAGATGTAAACTATGGTATACCGGCTTATTTACAAACCTACTTGTTGAGTGCCTATGTACGTACATATATGTATTAACAAAGCCGAATATTTCAAAATTAGATGCACATATATAAATAAAATTGGATAAATCATGATGGTCGTATAAAATCGTTATCTGATAGTAAATTCAAATTCTTTCCTTTTCGAAATTAATAATGAGTTTAAAAGTAATTCTATATAAGCCAATTTTATTCTCCACATTTACTTTAATGTAATATAGGTAATGTCTTTTCGGAACTAGGTACATATTATATATCGACTAATACTCGATACATGGCTATAAGCTTGAGTATGTGAATTTAGCAGTATACTTATATTATTAGTGTAAGTGAAAATTAATATCGTGTGATAGATTTATGGAAATTTATAGGAACGCTGAAAAGGTGTATTCTTAAGTTTTATTAACTTGTATTAAACACACATCAAAAATTTAATGTTAAAAAGGGGTGCTACCTTCACATCTCGTTTGAACCACACTTCTAAAATTTCCTTTTGTTAAGTACATTTTTTAATCGTATATATCTTTAAGAAATATATTTGTTAGCATAGTGCGTTCGATTTGATACCATTTTTTTTTATTTACATATATCTGAATTGTACTTTCCACTTTAATTAGTAATTTGCCTAAAATTTTCCCTCGCCCTTCCTTCTTAATATTTTTCCGCTCACAAGATTCACTTTACAACTGATATAATGCAAAATACAGTATAATAGAATAAAGAGCATGACTTGTGTAAAATGGGTGCTTTTTAATATTCCTCAATTAGAAATCAATTTTAATAATCGAAAGGTTTTAATGAGAATCAGAAGAAAAAATTGATATAATCTGCTTATGAAAGCTATCCAAATACTTACCCAACATCCTTATCATGGTTAAGAGCGGTCAAGAACCGTGGCTGTACGTATGTCCATGCGCCTTGATTCTTGTGTTCTTCTTGTACCCAGAACAAATCAGCATTTTTGTATAAATTACTTTGCTCTTTAACTAAGTCGAATGGGAAAGGAGAAATCTATACAACAGATATATTAATAAATTTTTTAACTATTGTCGATATGCCGGTCAATTTCTAACCTGTTCTACTCGAACGATAGCAATATCTTTATCCATTTTTTTGTCCTGGCGCGCTTTGAGCAAGTCGTAAAACACTCGCCCAGTACAGAAAAGCACTTTCCGTACGTTATCGGCGTTTTCTGCAGCAGGGCCTTCATCAGGAATTACCCGCCTGAATTCACTATTTTCAGCCATCTCCTTGAATGGGCTCCTGGCCAATGGATGACGCAAAAGAGATTTAGGTGTCATTACAATCAATGGCTTGCGGAAAGGCATAGCAATTTGGCGACGTAAAATGTGGAAATAATTTCCAGGTGTCGAACAGTTCGCCACGATCATATTAATGTCATGCAATTGACGAATCGCGAATTCATCAGATTCGGGAGGGAAATAGTCGGGGTCGTCGGCACATAAGCTTAGGAAGCGTTCTAGACGACCTGATGAGTGTTCGGGGCCCATTCCTTCCATGCCGTGCGGCAATAGACATACTAATCCTGATTGACGAACCCATTTCGCTTGACCACTTGCAATAAATTGATCAATGATACACTGAGCGGTATTACAAAAATCACCGAACTGAGCTTCCCATAATACCAACGCATTGGGATTTGTCATGGAATAGCCATGCTCGAAGCCCAACACTGCAAATTCTGAAAGAGAACTGTTCGAAACAGAATACGGTGCTTGATCAGGATACAGATGTTGTAAAGGATTATATACAGCTTTATCCACCAACTGATGATGTAAAACGTGATGGCGATGAGAAAATGTGCCTCGTTCCACATCCTGACCAGACAACCTCACATGAATACCTTCTTTAAGCAATGATCCAAATGCCATTGCTTCAGCCAAGGCCCAATCAGCAATGCGCTCATCAACCATTGTCTTGCGTGCAGCCAACACTCGGAGCAATCCTCTAAAATGATGACAAATATTGAATTTATAATGCATTTTCAAATGATAAAATTAAGAATGATTTCATACTTGTGAATAACGAATTCCGCAGCATTTGGGGGCGGTGACGAAAATCGATTACCAATATGGACAAGAGTTTCCTCTTTCACTCCAGTTGGGGATACTTTCAATGGATCTTTGCCTTCGAAAAAACCAGACCAAGGAGAATCAAGCCAATCCTTGTACTAATAATTTATAATGGTTTGTTTAAAATGGAATTAAATTCAGAAATATGTTGTTTCTATACTACCTTGATGTGAGTTTCTTGCTTAGCTAATTCCAACGATTCCTCGCATATTTTGTCGTACTTATCAGCTACAGCTTTAACTTCTTCCGGGGTGACAGTGCCCTCAGCAATGAGCTTATTTGCGTACAATTCCAAGCAAGTTTTGTGATTCCTAATTTTTTGATACATAAGCGGTTGTGTAAACATGGGTTCATCTACTTCGTTGTGACCGTTCCGACGGTAACTAACCAAATCGATGACAACATCTTTATGGAACGTAGCACGCCATTCTGCGGCTACTCTACTTACATGCACAACGGCTTCCGGGTCGTCAGCATTTACATGAAATATTGGAGCATTTACAACACGTGCGACATCCGTGCAATAAGGTGAGGAACGTGAAAAGCGAGGATCCGTTGTGAAGCCGATTTGGTTATTAACTACAACATGGATAGTGCCGTGAGTGGTGTAGTCGGGTAGGTCAGACAAATGCATCGTTTCATAGACAACACCTTGACCACAGAATGCAGCATCGCCATGCAAAAGGAGAGACATGACCTTTTTACCTTCTTGATCTCCGCGGTAAAATTGTTCTGCACGAGTTTTGCCCTGCACTACGGGGCAGGATGCCTCCAAATGAGAAGGATTGGCAACAACAGCCAATCTGATATTTTTGTTTGTGATACGATTTAAACGTTCAATATAAGTTCCCAAGTGATATTTCACATCGCCTGAGCCCTGCAATGATTTTTAAATTGTAGCATCGCAAAATTACTCTTGTCATTGCTTACGTCATCAGCTGCTTCCAAACCGGCAAATTGTGTGAATATTTGGGGTAAAGGTTTTCGGCACACGTTTGCCAAGACATTCAGGCGTCCACGATGTGGCATACCCATAATTACCGATTCAACGCCTAATTCTGTTGAAACATCAATGACCTCTTTCATTGCCGGTATGAGCATTTCGCCACCCTCTAATCCAAAGCGTTTTTCAGATGAATATTTTTTAGCCAAAAAGGCTTCAAACCTGCAACCAATAAACGAACATTTAAATAGTATATAAGATTAACAAAGACTGATTTTTTGATAGTAAAGTTTCAAGTTTATGAAAGTAAGGTAAAAGTAGAACTATGTCGAGCTTCCTCGGTTAATTTTCTATTTTTTAAGAAGTTTTAGTTCAGTTCATTCCTAGTGGTATGAACGTTTTTATCTAAAAGCGATCTGACCCAGTAAATTTTAATACTACATAAATTTTTTTTTGTACTTGAGTATGATTATAATCATACATCACTTTCCAAAAATTCTACAATACTTTTGATTTTAATAATTCAATACATTTTAGCTTACCCTGTAGCACGTGTTAATCGGGCTAGAATGAGACGTTTTTGTTCTGGCGAAAAGTTCATAACACCAGGTGTTTCAAAACGCTTTCTAATCCAATTACATTGTTCCAAAGAGTTAATGAACATATATTCAACCCCCACTTTATTACAATATACATTTTCCAGGCGGTTGAGTATCTCTCTAAAATAGAAAATAGACAAAATTTTAAGAATTTATATATTCAGAATATGTAATAAATTCACTCACCGTAAAGGTAAAGTAGTTTCATCTCCACCTATGAACGTAGTGCTAGGAAGTTTAAAGGGCCGATCCATATCTTGCTCACCTACATTTTCATTAATTATATGAGCAGATCAAATAATTGTAAAATTCTATTCCAAAAATTGTACATTAACATTTTTTGTTTAAATTGCTTTGAAATTCGGAGATAATTTCACATATCATGCTTATGACAACACTTAGTTCAGGAAGGAATAAATGTTCGTATGTGGCGTTTTTCACAAAGTCACAACCTGTCGAACCGACCTTTCATTCGAAATATTAATTGTGATAAGTTCATGATATCCAATGACTATGTAGCATTTAAAAGCAGAATGAGAATGTTGTTTGATTGTAAGCTTCATTTACATATGCATATAACGATGAGATCATTATTATATAATATAACTATGCATCATGCTTTTGCATTTCATTTCAAAATTATTTATTTGATCTACAATATAATTTTAATAATTCTTAACATATTATATATGTACATACATTGTGCGCGATATTCCACACATCAAATACGCTGTATCAATTAAAGTTAAAAATGTTTGTCCAAATTAGGACTAATGCGAAGCATTTTCAAAATTACGGGAAAGATCCAACATAGGTTCAAAAGCATTTGAAAGAAATTGTTAATTGGAAGTAGTGCACTTCGATATGCAACTTCATATCGTACTTATTATCTACTATAGCGACTAGTACACATAGTGATAAATCTTACCAACAGTCCGAGTAGGTCATTTCTATTTTTATTTTTCTATGAGCATGTGCTACTCAAATTTTTACACAATACGATTATGGCAGTGGTATGCAGGAAATCAATATAAACGATTCATTGATTACAAGTGTGTTAAACTTCGTAGAAAAATAATTTGCTTTTTTTAATAATGTTATCTAAAAATCTATGTTAATTATAAACATTTTGTACACTTGCATTAATGTGTGTATGTACATATTAAAAATTATATTAACATAAGCCTTATCCCTTTTTACATGATAAATACGTTCTCAAAAACTCCGATTAAGATAATCAGTGGGAGCGGCCAAAAGGGTTAGTTTAATATCGATCGTATCGGTAAACAGATGGTAAATAATAAATGATTTATTGACTGTTAATTAATATTTATTAAGTCGTATGATTTATTAGAAGATTATTTATACAGATATATTATAATGTATTATTTATCTGAAATCAAATATTGTTTAATAAAAATGTAGTAGAAAATGAAATGAAAAAATCGAACAAAACCAAGCTCTATCGGACATGGGAGGGAGGGGTCACAGGAAAGGCAACTATGGACTTCATGAAGGGAAGGAAGAATTTAATTCGTGCTTACTGATTTTATTTCAATAAATATATTTTAAGTATACTCTGTGAAAAGGGATATAATACCTAGAATCCATTAATATTGTCTTAAACTGTAATATTTTACTTTTGTTTATTTAAAACAAAACAATTGTGTAACCATTTTTTTATTTCTTGTTAAATCCAGTTTTTGTATACATATATATATATATATATATATATATATATTGTTCCAACCCTAAGTACGAACAATATAGGAAGTGATAAAAGTGAAATATGTTTATACATAATAAACATCAGTAGTCGATAATAAGATAAATATGGACGCGCACATGTAATTAACAGAAAAGGAAAACCAAAGCAGGCATATATAAATGATTTTTTGTTTATGATGCTATTATTTTTAGATTATTTTACTTTGACGCCTATTCGGCTATCCTACTTACCAAAACTGAAATTTGCGTAAATTGCTTTTGTTGAGCAGTTGTCGGGCAATTCTGCAACATTAATTTCTAAAGGATCGAGGTGTGCAATGTTATGTCCTCGAATCTATTGAAACGGTTGAGAAGTGTGTGGAGTTTGTCATTGACGCACAAACACATAAAAAATTGGATCCGTTTTTTTTATACAAATTTTGAATTCGAATTAGCAAAATATGTGTGTAGTAGCATAGAATGGAAAGGCAGAAATGTAACGAATAATCAAATTAGAAGACATATGCAAAGAAAAGAAAGTAAAGTGTTAAAAACAGACGTAATTAAAACAAATAAATAGATTTATGCTTTTATTAAATAAAAAATTAGTTAAAAAATTCCAATTTTTCTACTATAAAAAATTATAGATATAATTTATAAAAAAAGATAAAGCGAAAAATGAAACTGCAGATGGAGTGCATCAAGTGCGAATGAATCCAATGATATGTTTAACTATAAGACGATTTAACAAAGGCGTACCTCTTGTATTACTTCTATGATATATGTATGTAAATATGTTTCTGCATGGGTTTCTTCTGCAGTGCCGATGAGTATTCAATTTCTAATTATGGGTACTTACACCGCGTCTAAATACAGTGACGAATGATTTCATTTTTAATATATATATAAACTCTATTAAAAGACGTATGTACAAATTTTGTTTGATAATTTATAAGTAATTGCTTATAAAATTACTAAATGAATGGATTTTTTAAATGCATTTTACTTTCTCTTATTATTTAACTGTATTTTTTTTTTTGATCACGATTAAATATTAAAAAATGTGAAAGACAGGTCGGTTGTCAACAAGAATATGGAGTGTCAATTTCAAAAAACTCCGAATTTCGTCTTATTTTAATTAATATGTATTTACCATAGTTTTAGATTAAGAAAAATTAAATCAATTTGAGCAATTACCAACGAAAAATGACGAATGCTGCCGCAGCACAGCTTCGTTAGCTCGTCGGGTTTGACCATCTTTGCTGACTGTGGTATCCTGCCTCAGGATGCCTAGAGGATCCAAATCAGCTGCCAAATGACCGCGTGACTTAAGCGTTACAAAGTTATTCATTCAAAGGAAGCACATTAGTGCGCGATTATTCAGACGTTCATTCATTATTATCATTTATGTACAATTTCAAGTGTTTGATGATGAGGGATTTCGTTGTTTGCGGGTTGATTGATTGCATACAATTGATCAATATTTTAATGTATTATGAAGATAAACAAAGTAAAATAAGGATAATTGTGCAAACAAATGCTTAAGAAGTATAAAATAGGAACTTATAATATATTTTCATACATGCTTGGGTAAACATTCAAATATAAAAGGCTTAACAAAAAATAAGTAAACTAAGGAAGCTTACATAAGCCTGTTGTTGAAAATAATTGTAAATTATAAAATGGTTAAAAGTGTTTATGATCAGGGAAAAACTATTTAAATGGGAGTCAATTCGATGGATACGCCGAATGTGTTTCAAAATAATGCATATAATTATTAAACAATATTCTGACGATAGCGATTTTAAAAATAAATTGAAATCTAATTAACAATTATGAAACCCATTATAATACTAAAGTATGCGTCAAAGTGAAAATTTAATATTGAATTATAATATTATTATAATATTAGAAAATAGTACTTTAAAAAGATGTAATTAAAGGAATACTACTGCCACTAATTTTGATTTAGATTGGAGTGCTGAATAGCTTACCTGATAACTTCTGATAATTGCCTGCACTGCTAAATGATCCTCGATGGTCTTTGAATCAATTGCTCCACCCGATGAAAGTGCGTTAATGCTGCTGGAAAGCGGTACCAAATTTCTCTGCACAGGCTGAAAGTCTGGTGGTGCATTATATGAGTTACTGCGAAAATATGCATCCCACGACTAAAAGAGAAAATGTGTTTAGAAAACTAATGACAAATTTCAACAAGCGTGTTAATTACTGTATGCACTGAGGTTGGATCTCGTAACCATGAATTGTACATTTCTTCAACGTAAGTCGCGGACGTGCCTGATGCGAATTGTTCAGCTGGCGCCGAGCTATATGCACGAATAGCGGCCAAAATCGTTGAATTTTTCCACACCTTCAAATTCAGAGCAGATTTCAATTAAATCGAAATAGTTTAAAGCACTGGAGTAATTAATTCACCTTTGTACTGCCATCCTTTACCAACCATGTTGCAAAATTTTTTTGAGCAACCGGTGATAACACCAAATTGAAAGCTGTGTGCGCTCTATGCATATTGAATTTAGCTGTAATTAAAAAAAAAACTTGTATTGTATTAAGCATACTTTGAGATTTATATTTATTATTTCTCTGCAAACATATACCAAGCTGTTCTATTAGAGATATTAGAGATCATAGTATAGATTGAAATACAGTACAGCTTTCCATTTAAGGAACGTAATGACGAACGTTCCTTAACCCCTGCGGGTTAGGGGCTCAAAAATTTACCCGCGGTAAGGCATGCCTGTCGTAAGAGGCGACTAAAATCCAATAGTTCCCGCGACAGTATGGTCTTTATACCGGAACGACCCGGATTTTTATCCGGCCAAGGACTGTCACTCCCGCAATATTCCCCAAAAAGTACTTTGGGGAATAATTTTGCGGTTACAACAACAACAACAACACGAAAATGATGAAAAGAATGGAGATCTTCCTCATACTCTGCTTACAGCGGCGGGTATTGCATCATTTTGCTTTAATGTGGATTTTGGCGAGACTTTCACCCACTAAAACCCACCATTTTTTGGCAAGAACCTTCTTGCTTATGTTTTCGCGCCGTCCATCACACTTTTTGAATGGGGGTGATGTCAGCCACTACCATTTGAATATTGTTACTTTTTTCATTGGAGCTGGTTTCTATGTAGCGGGACCCAAATCCAGCCTAAAGCCTGGCTAAGTTTTAATTTTTTTACACATGAATATATCAAGACGCTTGCTTCCTGACCGAAGCCCGCTCGTAGCCGCTGTGAAAAAATGCTGCAATAGTAAGTCAAAGCGAAGGTGAAATCATATGTTGCTTGCAACCAAGATATATTTTGGTAAGATTCAACTACAATGACATTAAATACTTGTCGGCTAGGTACATTTCAAATGGTTATTTACACATATACATAGGTGCAGTGGATTATATAAAACGAATTATTTCTATCCCAGTAATCTTCATGTGTATATATGTATGTATATAATGATTTTTTAATAATAAATCAATCTTATGTGTACACATACGCATTTACCTTCAATGCCTTAAAAATTTAAACTTATAAAATCCTATTGAATATGTATGAGTGGATATGTTTTAAATAAGAGAGAAGTTTAAAAATCGTTAATCACCGACCTTGACCTTAAATCAATCGATAGATTTCGAGCGATAAAAAAAGTCCCAACTGCGCATGGCACCAGTATGTCACGTGAAATTTTGTACTAAGTACTTGCAGTTATGACATTTCTTCATCATGATAATAGAAAGTATATCAAATCAGATTTATATAAGCAGCAACAATTTATTAAGCCATTTATTTCACCGGAAATTTTCCTACATTTCGCGTTTGTTACAAAAACAATGGGAAATTGGTTATAACTACATACATGCATTAATACACTTTCACTGCATAGCAAGTTGGTTATACGCTTAAAAAATAATAAAAACTTAATTAAAAATTAATCAAAGTGCTAATTTTGATGTAATAATAGAGTATCACATATCAAAGATAAGTGAACATACTGTGACCCTTGTATGAGTATATCAATATTTATTCCCTTGTCATATATCCAATATCATTTTCAAAATGAGTTTTTTACTTTTCCAAGACCTATACGTTGGCAATTCCGAACACAAACTGAATAACTTGCACCTTCATAATGTGAGAAACAGTTGAACTTGGTATCATTAAACAGAAAACAAACAAATGTACCTATATGTCACTATTTATTCAAAAAAAAAAAAAAAAAGGTTGTTATTTTCGTACTAATAGCAGCTTGATAAATTTGGAAAATTTGTTTTCACCCAAATGTAATGGTCAATGATTAATTAATTATACAAGCATTTATGTACGTGTGTACATTTCTATCATTTCAAAAAAACTTGATCAATATGACTTGCCTGAAAGTTATCAGAGCACGCCCATTACCTACAACAAAATAATTTCTTATCAGAATTAAATACTGTAAGAAACTCACCATTAAGTAATATCTGTTCATTACATCATTTGATGTGTTATTTTGTATGATAACTGTAAGCCATTTTAGCGATCTTTTTAGGAAAATAGATTTTAGTGGCACAACTACATAGATTTAATATTTACCAAATTTCATTGAGTTATACATGAACAACTGGAATATTCATTCCTTCTCATAAGCCCGAACTTTAGAAATGGGTTTTCCTAATGCCTATCAAAATAATTAACTTGTTGGTATACATTTGACGCAATTCTTCAGATTTGCAGAGACGTGACCATCTTTAAAACTATGGAAAACAAGACGTCGATAAAATCTACTCCTACATTTTGTTTCGGTCTCTACGAATTTGTCGAAATGGAAACTGCAAAATCGGCTTAATATCCGGTTGTCTTCACGAGAACACATACGTAGAGACGAGCCCCCGTAGTTTACTTTCACACCAATACTTTACATTATGTAACTACACATGATGAAATTATTTAATGCACCTGATAAAAGAACTATGATTTAAATATTAATGGCGTTATAATTCCTAAAAGGAATACAAAGCAGTGCTCCATACCCTTGTCCGCAGTAGTTATCATCAATAATTCGAAAGCATAAACGGAAAATAGCTTTCACAAAATTTTTTCCAGTCTAATCCATACATATATTTGCGTATTACATCAGATTTATTTATTCAAAACCAGGCGATGGATACGCCTCTTACCTTAAATTTATAAAAAATTTCTAGGGAACAAATTTTCTGTTTATAATCTCACGTAAGTATTTTTAAAAAAATTTATGAAAACTATTATACTAATTTTACCTGACAATAAAAAACACTGCAAACTTACTTGCCCGAATGAAAACCGAATTGGATTTGACAATGGCGAATTCAAGATTTTTTAATTCGCCCTGTGTTTGACAAATGTATTCACATGTGCTGCCAAATTAACACTTTTTATACAACTGATGTAATGGAGCTAGCCACTTCGTTTTGGTAACGCCAGGGAATGGAATAGAAGGGAATTTCCAATTTATATTGTTACGATTTTACTAAATCAACCTCGATTATTTTCCGAATCCTTCGGGTACGATCTCTGGATTGTTAAATAAAACTCGCCAATTTAATTTGCAGTTTCTTTCGTTATAAAGATTCTATCTAATGTCCTTTATTTTCTCAGTAATTCACAATTCAATTATACTGCACTTTACTATTTATAATCACTAACATCAACTTTCACAATTTACTCTACTTAAATGTAATTCCCAACACGTTTACTTTACGACTTTACTGATGTTAACGCCAACGAGTTTACTTTATCACTGACTTGACTTGCAGCTGAGTGTCGCCTTTATAT